GACCCTGACGCCTGCTGTATATTTGGAGTTTGCATGTTCTCCGCGTGGTCGAGTGTATTTTTCTCCGGGTCCTCCGTTTTTTTCTCCACATTTATAAACATGCGTTTAGAGTATTTGGTTGTTAGAATTTCCACGTGATAAGCCACTTCGTTGGGCAATCATACGTGGCCCAGGTCTCTTAAAAATACCTAAATAGTTTAGTAGACTTTACCTCGTAAAATACTATTCGTTTTTTTGTTACTCTAACAACCATTTCAACATGCTAATGTAACTGTTATATCATCATCAGCCATGGTAAATCCACTGCTAGATGAAGGCCTCTCCAAGCCACCGCCATCTCTAACGATCCTCACACCGCCACATGAGATTATTTCATCACTCCATTTCTTCAGTGGATTCCCTCTCCTACGCACTCTTATATTTGTATTTCTATATTTTAGAGTGAAATGCTATACCATTAAAACAATACTGACGTTTTTTTTTTCTTGAGGTAGCTATCATTGTAAATCTGTCACTCTTCCCGGGACATAAACAAATCCAGGTTTTTTTTCAGTTGCGTAAAAAAATACAACGCTCAAGTCAACGCAGTTGCATGTAGTTATCCCGCATCCTTGAAGTATTATTCTCCCTTGCATGACACGTCCTGCAATTCGTACCTTAGAGTTGGCAACTCTACTTGAATCCATGCTGTGTGTTAAAGATCGAGCCTCACTGACGGATGTTGCTGTTCGCTAACTGCCTCGGGACCTGGCCTTATATTTACAGGGAATAGGGTCTCTTAAATGGGCGCTTTCAACGATTGAAATAATGGGAGGAATCAACCGCTCTGCTCTGCCTCTCTCTCTCTCTGTCTCTCAAGTGATTGCTCATCAATTGGTGGGCCATGATTGGTGATGTCCATGATTCAAACGGCCACGCGACTTACGCATCAGAGGCCCTGTACAAACACACGTGCTCATTGATAAAGAGAAATCGGTCTGTTTACATTGACGTGTACCTCTGACTGCAATCGATGTATTTTTGTAGAGCGTCAATACATAAATACGTCAACTGAGCCCTGTACACGGATTTGGGAATGCAGTGCACGTGTTTACTTTTGGAATGATGTAATGAACACCCGAGACATAAGGGAAAAAAATCATTCTTTTTGTCTCGTGTGTATTTATCACGTTTGTCCCACGTTTGCACATTTGTTTCACGCTTGTACAATAATGGGTTATTACACACATGTGTAATAATTGTGTGCGCATTAGCTTGAGTATAATAATCTGCTGTAGCCAATCAATTTAATTTCCACCACATCCCCGCTCAACCGCACTGCAGCTCGACATATTTATCTTTCTGCTTCATACCTCGCACTGTTCCATTTTGGGATTCCCTCCCACACTCTTTTGCCAATTTCTTTTGACCTCACTCAATTCAATAAATGTATTCACTCTAATCTCTTACACCTTGGCATCATCTGGCACTGTGCTCAGCAACTCTGATTTTTTTTTTATCCAACCGACTCCCCCCAACCGCCACCCATCATCTCCAGTATGAACGACTCCGTAACCATCAACATTTTGTGAAAGAGACTAGTCGACCGAAACGTCGAGATCTCTCTTTCTTATCAGTGACCGAAGACATCTGTTATTGTTGTTTATATTTACCTGTTATCCTTTTTTTGGAAACGTTCATTACAGCAGCGGCGCACCTTGCGTTGAGATGACGTCGACCATCAACTCGTCATAATAGCTGAGGGGTTAAGCTAAGGATATGGCCAAATCCTTGCACTTTGGGTTAAACATGATCAAACTCATTGGTTTGACCTGAACAAATGTCTGATATGAAACCACCATCGAAGCGACTCCTGGTGGCCGAACGAGAAATATTTGTTCCAGCGTTACATTTTGCTGAAAACCCCAATTGCATTATTTGCTCGTAAAATGCTGATGAACATGAAATTCATTTCTAACGTATATTTGATGAAAGAGAAATATACGTTTAGAGTATTTACTAAATACGTTTCCATACCGTTGCTTTATTACATAAACCATATGGTATTAATTCAAAACTGTTTAAACGGCATATAAAAAATATATATCGTAAGACACAATTTAATTATGATCACCGCATATTCCTAATAAATCTAGTATAGTAGCTACGTCACTACCTCGTATATAAAATACGATCCAAAACCTCAAGTCGTGACAGGACAACAGACAATCCAAAACCCTCAGTGCTCCTACTGCGGTTTGAATATAGAAGGAAATAGATCTACCGTGCAGCAAATGGCACGAGAAAACTATACCCAGTAAAATACACCCGTATACGTTACCTTTTGCGTTCACGGTTCATATTTGCTTACCATCTATAGCGTCTATAGGTAGTAAAAGGCTATGGAACGTTCATCCACGAGATATCAGATTCTCTGAGTCTGTGAACATTTTTTAAGTGTGACTTAAAACCTTTTTATGCGTTTCCGCTTATGAAACTTTTAGTTAACTGAATAAGTGATTCTTAAAATTAATTCATATTATTTGCATCCTGAGTGTCTGCTGCTGCTGTGTCCTGTACAGCGCTTTGAGATCCTTGAAGTAAAACGCTATATAAATGGTATTATTATTAATAGTATAGATTTACACCAGTGGTTGGCAACCTATCTGGACCCACAGGCCAACCCCTGAACAAAATTTCGCGGACCACCGAACAGTAAGAACTGTAGTTCTGCTGGAGCCCAGGTCGGGAATCGCTGCACTACACCATTCTCTTTTTTCGAGGGCTAAATGTCAAGAGTTTGTTTACCCCGGCATCTATCTCTAGTTAATTATGGTGGCAGTATCCTGCGCAGCTACGGGAAGCAGTAGTACCCATGAGACCCGGAATTGCAGCATTCACACTCGCATCTGTATAACTTATTTACAGCTACCGTGCACCGCTAGTTCATAGCGTTATGTTGTGAGCTCGGAGCACAGGAGTATAGTTCAATCACCCGAAAACAACTTAATTATGCATGATAGTCACCCAACCAAGCACTATCCAGCCTCAACTCCTGCATGGCGTCGTAGGGGATCGTGTGCATCCCGGAATACGGTACCATACACTATCCTGGAATGTTTAAGCCAAAAAATCTATTTAGTTTTACACACGAACAGCAGGGTGCACGTCTGGCTTGGTTGAGTTTCATATCCAGAAATATTTAGTACGGGTCCATTCTTATTAGTACCAAGTTTCAGGGCTTTTAATTAAAAGTGAAAAAGCTTTTTGGCTCGCCTGCTGTCCCGCCGCCATAACAGCTCACTGAGATGGGTCATTACAGCCAAGAGAGATTGCATCAGACGGTCATTATTCTTCCCCGACGTCCCCTTGCCTGAACGTGACCCCTGACGCACATCACGTCAGCTGTGTCAGATCCCGCGCGTCCAAATGGAAGTCGTTCTGGTTTGTTTCCACCCCCCCCCCCCCCCCCCAGGACCTCCTGTTTTTGAGGAAGCTATTTTTTGGGGAAATCTGTAAAGTTTTCCTTGGACAAGAGAAGTCCGGGGTATTTGTTTGTAATCACAATACACCACGCACCCAAGACAATGCACCACGCACCCAAGACAATACACCACGCACCCAAGACAATGCACCACGCACCCAAGACAATACACCACGCACCCAAGACAATACACCACGCACCCATGACAATACACCACGCACCCAAGACAATGCATTTGCAGCTCTCCTCTATTTATGGCATTTTGAGTTCGTCGTATTTTTCTCCTGATATTTTTCGTGTTTTTTTTTTTTAACTCAGAGTTGGCAACCCTACAAACGGGGCTTTTCCCAGCCTGTGAATTATGTAGCCCTAAACAGACTCGCATGGGAAGGTTGTGAGAATTATATTAAATGCCAAGCATTCATTCGCACAACAATGGGCTGGCTTCATCACACCCAAAGGTTATAGCTTGTGTTTGAGAAGGACCCTGACATTTTGACATCGTGCGCGGCGTCTTGGCTCAGAAGCGATGTACACGCGTTGCCATTTACCTTTGCTGATTATTGGTTGAACCAGACCTACGCATTAATAAAATCATAAACCGAAGGTTATGAGTTCAAAGTCTCGATCAGAGTTCGACTTGGCGCTTCATCATCATCATCCCCGGGACGTATGAAACGAGTACCGCTTGGTGGGAGGTCACCAAAAAGGCAAGTGCCCTGGAGAGCCTGGCCCTGTCGTCGGAATGTGCAATTTGCGGCGCTCCGCTGAAGGACTGCTCACAGAGGTGAGCACCACTGTAAGCTTCTCTGAGGAAGGAGATCCTGAGACAGAATTTCTGTAATCAAGTCCCTACGTCCGCTTCTGCTACAAAAAGCACATTGGTTAAAATGCTGTGCATCCTACAGTTCATCATCATCGGTCATCATCGGTCATGCTCAATCCACCGCTGGATGAAAGCCTCCACAGGCCGCAGCCGCATCTCACAATCTTGAAACGTAATAGTCCACGCACCAGCTCATTTCATCGCTCCATCTCCTGGGGGGCATATCCCGTGGGATGCGTTTTTAGTCCTTGGCTGCCAATCCATATTCGTCTAAAACCAGTCACCATCCCATCAAGCGACATACTTTGCCCAAACCTACTTACGTCCCAAAATGATTTGAATGGTGTCTCTAATCTGTGCGTATTTCCCTGTCTGTATCTCGACGTAACTCCAAGCACGCATCTCTGCATGCTTCTTTGCACACGTTTCAGCTTTTGTCCCATTTATTTTGTTAATGACCACGTTTCTGAACCGGGTCGTACACACCGATTAAATACTTAGACACGTTGGCACGCCACTTTTCGTTACCAAGTTTACATCTTTACAAAAGCGCTCCTTTAAAAACGCAACCTGCTCTTGCCTGCATCTTTAGCAGTCGTTTGGAATCTGTTGCACCTTCAAAAGCTGTCCCAGGTACTGATATGAACATTGTCAATTTCACAGTCACCGTCAAGCGCGGCCTCTGCGCGACATTCACCTCCGAGCTCTTACCGTCCACGGAGCCTGCAATCGATGGTGTCAGCTTGGGTGTTACATCAAAACCTGGGTCACGCCTGTCCGCTCTCGACCAGTGTTGACTCACTCTGATGCGCACGACGGAGGCTCAGGGTGAATTCCTAAAGGCACGTCTCTGCGACCGCCGCTCGTGTCGCGGCCAGCGCGAGACAAGGCCACACTGTGGTCGTGACCTTGTTTAGAGGGGGCACACAAAAACATCGGGCGAGGTCGGGGGGGGCGACGACGACGCGGCCAATGTGTAAACAGCCTTTAAATAAATGTGAAAGGAGAAACAGGATGTGCAACGAGACGCTATGCGTTGTGTCTCTCGTGTATCCCGTCGGAGCTCTCACACCCCCAACCCCGCCCCCATGGTATGTGTATGATGTATGAAGGAGTGCACATAGCCTGGCACAAGCGCCGCGGTGACGTCACCGCCACTTAGTGGCGAATGGCGGTTGTTGTTGGAGTACGAATGAGGAAAGGCACTTGCTAAAACTGGCAAACGTTGAAGGGGAATTACCATTGGTGTTTCGTGTCGTACCAACATCCTTTGACTTCCAAGAAGCGCCGAGCCTTCAGCTGTGGTGGCTTGGCCCCCTCCAGACCCCCCCTCCCCCCCCAAGGCGTGGAGAGATGGTGCCACGCTCGATTCCAGTGCCCGTATCAAGGCAACATCAGACCGATCCCACTGCCGTTGTGCCGTTAGGGGCCGTCCATAAATGACGTCACGCACCTAGAGGGGGGGGGAGGGTCAGACATTTGTGACGATGTGTGACGAGGGGGGGTTTGAGAAATGTGACGTCACATCAAAATGCGCAACTATAAATCAATATAGACAACACGTTCTACTTATTAAATAAACTTTTTAATATGTTTTCTCCTACAACATCAGAGTGCAGCCCCACATTAAATACGCACTACAATGACAATAGTTTAAAGTAATTTGAAGATGTTTTATTTTTTGGGGGGGGGGAGGCAGAGCTTTGTGACGTTATATTTGAGGGGAGGTCTGACTTTTTGTGACGTCGTGTGACGAAGAGAGGTTTGTGGTCAAAAATCGTCCAAAATTGCGTGACGTCATTTATGGACAGCCCCTTACAGCTCTCCGAGGTGTTCACGCGTTGTTCACGCGTTGTTCGCGCGTTGTTCACGCGTTGTTCACGCGTTGTTCACGCGTGTTGCCCGGCGCGACCTCCGACGTGTCGCTCCACGTGCCGGGAGCTTCCTCGGGAACTGAATTTTAGCTCGGGGTCACGCTGAGCGGCATGTGGTACACAACCCGAAAACACCTCGCAGAGCTATCGCTCCGGTATGATCCGTGCGAAGACGTGCGAGGTAAGGAGGAGGGCTGGGGGGACTCGCGGATGGGTGGTGGATCAACAAATCCGCTCATTGTCCCAGTGGTCGGGTGGATGAAAGCATCAATGATTTTCAGCTTCCACCAACGCGTGTCTGCGCGGCCACCCCTATTCTTCACGATGGAATCGGACAGTGTTGTCTGCTGACATGCTGTGCTCACTGTTAAAGTATACGGACCCCAGAGTACACACGTGCGCGTTGTGATGGTGTAAGCTCGGGAGTGGTGGCACGATGGGTTGTGCGCACCGCGCTCTGAACCCGGCGGCCTGAGCCCGATGCCATGCCGCTGCTAAAGCGATTTGTGAACCAATCCTGGGATACACCCTTCCCCCAACCCGCACTGGCCAGCGGGGGTGAAGTATGGTCAAACAGCCCCCGTGACTGAAATGTGTGCGCAGGCTTACATCCGGCAGTGGATTGGCAAAGCTGCTGGAACTGATTGTTTTACCGCTTGAAATACAGGCATGACTCGCTTAACGCGCGTTCCATCTACGATAATTCGCTAAAACGAGCAACTTGAATTCATGCCGATGTGTTCGCGTAACGAGCGGAGACCGATCGATCGAATGAGTTCCGTGGCGACCGGGGCCGCTGTTTGTTTACCAGCTTGCGCTGTGTCTGCGTGAGGGTGGGAGCCTCGTGGTGTCGTGGTGGCACTGTAATGTTGGTGCGTGTCGGTGGGAGGGGGGAGTCGCTAATTAATTGCAGACGCTGAGGAAAGGCATCTGCAAGCACTGTTGGCTCTGCGCGTGTGGTAAGTGTTACATTAGATGTTGTATCACTCCGTTTTAAAATTAAAATTTGCATTTCTCACGCAACAAAACGTTGTTCAAGAGTGTTGTATTACTCTATATTTTAACGCAGCCCTAAATGTTCGGGTTGAAACGGAGCTCAGCTTTCAACATGGGAGGGAAGTCAATGGGAAAACGAAGATCGTTTAACGAGTGTTCACTTACCGAGCAATATTTCGTAGAGCTTATCTCGCTCGTTAAGCGAGACGCCCGTAATTGTGTGTCCGTTCATCGCCATCATTAGCCACTGTCCATCCACTGCTGGATGAAGGCCTCCTCACATCGTTGCCTTTCTTTACTGTCCATTGTTGCTACCATCCACATCCATCCTGCAAATTAAATTATCTCATAGCTCCAACTCCAAAGTGGTCGTCCTCTTTGACGCGTATCTCTCCTCTGGCTGCCATTCCGCCACCAGTCTTGTTCATTGAAAATGGGAGGTTCGTGGGGTCATATTCAGGCTACAAACTAAGCAGTGGCTATGCTTGGCCTGCATTGGGTTCATGAGCTTTCTTGTTTAGATTCCACGGTGAGTTCATATTTACTTCCTGAGCTCATTCTTGATTGAAAAAAAATCATAAGCTTCTTATCAAATTTGCTGGGATTATACATATATTTAGTGGGATCTTATATGCAAGGGATTCCAGGAATGTTTCTTCATGAAAATAATGCAGATTTTCTCTACTTATTGTGAGAGGAATAATAGTTTTTTTTTCCCCCTCGGATGGATTAACCCATATTTGAAGCCATCAGCTGATATGTTTCACAGAGGAACTACTTTCCAGTGAATTGCTCATCGCTGAAACTGAGAGGTTAAGCATAATTTATCTTAGTTTTGTACTTGGATAGGTGGCCACCAGTGCTTGCCAGGTGTTGTAAGCGTGGGCTGCTCAGTGCAGCCAGGAGTGCTGAGTGTTAACCTCTTTTATATGTGTGGTAGATTTTATCCGGGTACTGTTTTTTCCCTCATCAAAGCCAAGCGGTTATCAATTGCAATGGCCAAAATATCTGAATTCAACACCCTCTTAACAATAGTTCTGAGATTCAGAGGCTTTCCTGGGTAATTAATATCTATTTCAAGTTTTACGACTGTGACAGAAACACCTAGAATGGGACCTATTTTGTCATATATCAGAAGCAGTGTTAGGCCTGGGTAGTGCTTTGAAATGTGACCAAAATGCACACCAGCTAGTCATAGGGTTCCGGAGCTACTTGTGAGTAGGAGAGGGCAGTACAGCAAAATATACTGCTGTACTGAACCTCAGTGCTGCTACATCTGTGCGCCCCACCTTCACAAACCCACACTGGCCCGCATGAATAAATATGGCACGGACGTCGGAAGGCTCTCATCCAGCAGCGGATTAACCAAAGGGCTGTGCACAAATTTATTCAACACTATGACCTAGATGTCCTGCGAGGACTACAGCTCGCGTCATAGACAACAAGCTGTAATCCTGAGCTCGCTGTTTCTCGTGCTGCGTGTCGTGAGGTATCAGGTCGCCTCTCGGAGATTTCAGAACGTGTGGTGCTCATGGCCCAGGAGGTCACGCAGCATGCAGGGGCCGCTCCGTGCCACCTCGCCCAGCCTGAAGGAGGTGACGCGTCGATCCCCGTGGGGCCCCTGGCAGAGGACCCCGCCACCAGGCCGTGCGCCTGGCTGCACGGCGCCATGGCCAACGAGCGAGTGAAGCTCCTCGTGTGCTTCCTCGGCGTGTTCGTCTGCTACTTCTACTACGGCGTTCTGCAAGAGACCATGTGCGTGACGGACGAGTGGCCCGCGTAGCGTTGTGCGGAGCGGCAGTGTTGCGGTTAGCGCGCCGCCGCTACGAACCCGGCGAGCCGAGTTCGATTCCCGCTCACGGCCGACACCAGTGACGATTATCTGAACCGTTCCTGCGCCTCCCCCCTAGGTCGACTCAGCCTCAAATGAGTACCCGGCGCAGTGTGCAAAAGTCGACCACTAGGGAAACAAAGGCGGCCGGGCGTAGTGCTGGCTACCCACCCCCTGGTGTGCCCTGCTGGCGTTTATAGGTGCTCGCTAACAGCACTTGCTCCTCCAGTCTGTTAAGGCTATACGGGGGATATTTGCCTTGTGTCCTGTTCGACGACAGGTGGTGTGTCTTCTGATTCACGCGCGCCTTTTTTTTCTACATTTATGTCCATGGAATGGCTGCGACCCAATCGGACGTGTCCGATTCTAGAGGGCATTGGGAGCGCAGTGGGGTTGTGAGCCAGGATAGTGCTCGGATGTGCGACCACGGAGCAGGCATGCAGGTTTAGTGGGCGCTGTCGGCAGGAGAGGTCCGTGCAGCACTCACCCGCCCACCTTCAACGGCTCGCATGCACCAGCGTGGTAAAGTATGGTCAAAAATCCTGCACGGTATGGGGGGGGGGGGCCTCGTCCAGCATTGGATTGACGAGTGGGATGCACGTTAGCGTGCAGCTTTGCCGCGCTTCTTTGCTCAATTGATCATTTTAGGTCCATATTTCCGATCAATATGTCATATTAGATAAAATGCACTGATTAATGTGGGCGCCACGCTGGCGAGATGTTAACTACCTCGCCTGGTGTGCTGGAGGTTGTGGGTTCGACCCTGATGCCTGCTGTATATTTGGAGTTTGCATGTTCTCCCCGTGGTCGCATAGATTTTCCTCTGGGTCCTCCGGTTTTCCCTCCACATTTAGAAACAGGCGTTTAGGATATTTGGCTGCCATAAATTTCCACGTGAGAGCTAGCATTTGTGGCCAGGTCACTTCGGAAAAAAGATCTATATGGCTCAGTGGGCCGTACCTTTTAAAACAAAAAAGAGTTTAGTTGGATAGTTTAGTTCAATATGCAGAATTGAAGACATGGTCGGTGGCCGAGACTAAAACAGCAGCATTTGAGAGAGGGAATAATAATAATAATGTTTGAATAACTTTAGGAAGAAGAACTAAAGAAGCAAGAGGATGAGAGGTTAAACATGGGGGTGGAGGGGGCATAGGGTGGGTAACATGGTGAGGAGGACTCGACAGGAAGGTGTGAACTTGGCTGCTGCCTGCGTTATGTGCGGCGAGGCCATGTTGCTGCCACCCATTAAGGTGTCAGCAACGCTGAGAGGACGTCCACTATGGATATATTATTTTATATAGATTTAGATAACACCTTACCCCCAAGGCGATTTACAACAAATACAAAATTGTACATAAGATGATCGTGGTTGAAATAAACAGTGGGGTTGTTAAAAGTGGTGGTGTGGTTATGGTGACAGCTTGGAGGACAGGTGGGTGTGGTTAAGGAAGGGTTGGGTGTAGAGTTATAGGGGTAGTGATCGGGGTGATGATCGGGGTTGGGGTAGTTCTGATTGTAGCTGCGGGGCAGGGAGTAGCAGTAGGGGAGAGCTGGGGAGAAGAGATGGTTTTTAACGGAGGAACGAAAGCAGGTTAGTGAAGATGATTGTTTGATATGGAGTGATGAAATCAGATAGTGTCCAGTTCAGACGTTATAAGCTCTGAGCTGGGTGGGTTGTTACATTACAGCAGCGTGTGGAGAAGGAGACGGCTTTGGGAGGTTTTCATCCAGCAGTGGATTGATCATAGCTGA